GGGCTGAAAACAAAGGGCCGAGGAAATCTTTAAATTTAGAGTCTCTGATATATGTATATAGGTATATGTATATAGGTATGGTATATGGTATATGGTATGGTACATGGTATGGTATATGGTATGGTATATGGTATGGTATATGGTATGGTAATGGTATGGTATGGTATGCCATATAGACTCATCCAAATATATACAGTTGTTTTATATTTTTACCTGATTGCATCACGAGGCTTAGTGGGCCACTGTGTGATCATACCAACCCCATCCATCCATGCGTTATTAAACTGATGTATGCCATGCCAATGAATCGAGATATTGGCGTTTGCCGGGTTCTCCTTGTCATTGATTTCATTGTAAACATCAGCGACTACCAGTTGACCGTACTTTATGATAATAGTTGGACCAATTCTTCCTCCGTTCACACTGAAAATTTGCGATTCATCAATCTTTGCTGGATCGTCTCGCTTATTTTTTGTAATTGTCAATTTTATGAAACATTTTTGCCAGCTAGTAGCCGTGCAATCACATACGCCAGGATTGTATGCAGTTTGAGGTGTACAAACGATGTAATTAACATGATTGATCCAAGCTGTCGCGACGTGAAGCGCGACCAGTATGAGAAAAAGGCACTGCATACCGGCTAAGAAGAGAAGAAGCATGTAAGATATGAATTAACTCACTTCGAGACCAAGATTCGCTGCTATACACAGCCCTTTAACTGCAGTAGTTAAATCCGGTCTAAGACCGAACTCATAATTATGATAACCCGCAACTCTTACCGATAATGCCTGAACGGTTAAAGAACTTTTTTACCATTAAATATAGTTAAATTTTTATGAATACATTTTTATAATAGGTAGTTTATATTATCGTAATTACCCTAATTTAGGATAGAATACATATACTATCATACTATATAACACTGTTAACGTAAATTTTAATATTTAAATAATGTAAATATTGTTTCCATGTAATTCAGCTTTAGCTGCAAAATGGATTTAATTAAACTAAATAATAATAATAATATATACAGGATGTATAAAAACAGATTATCCAAGTTTGACATATTATCGTGCTTTAATAGTTAATACGTCCATAGGTTTTCTGTTTGCGTATTTATAAATGTCAGGAGCTGGTTGTATAAAAAAGTGATTAAAGTTAAGTATGGTTAAGTGCAAACGCGTCATCCAATATAGAAGCGCCTATTTCAGAGTTAATCACAATTTAACTACAAAATAGCGATTAAAAAAGTGATTAAGAGTTTTATACAACCGGCCCCATGCAGGCTTTTAGCTGTCAAATGACACCTTTATGGAATGATTGTGATAAAAATGACCAAACGCGATCTGATTTAAAGTGGCCGGCCGAAGCCCCCAGACCCCCCACCGCTTTTGGTCATCAACACAATCTGCCATCTCATTCATGATTCCAATGGTCATCTCTCCACACTCGGTATAATAGGGGACCGTTCATAATTTATACGTGGGGTTGATACCGAAGAGAAGCAAAAAAATAGTGTAAATGTTTTATTAACCCGACCTCATGAGACATTCGTCAAAATAATGTTTACCCAACCCATGTGTTACTGTACTCCATAATAATTAAACACACAAGATTATGGTGACAAAAATCAAGTTTCCTAAATTCTAAAGGCTCACTCACATTCAAACTCACTGAGTGTGTTAAAGCAATCACGTTCCTGCTGATCAATGATAGAGTCCTTCCTCAATCACCGATGGTCTATTTTGGTACAGAATGTATTGTACACATTTTTCTTCATATTTTCCAATGCATGGTAATTTTGGTTTTATTTTATAGCTGAGAGACAGACATAAATTTTTTTACCCAATCCATGAGCTAGTCAAAAACTTGATTACCCAACCCATATCTCTTCGATACCAACCCCGCGGGTATAAGTAATGAACCCTAGCAGTTTGGGGTAAGTCCGGCTCAAATCGTAGGTTTGGAAATTTTTTGTGACATCATATTTAAAAAAAAAACGATTGCAAAAAAACAAATGCAGTTAACCAACAATAAATACAGTTAACATAAAAGGTTAACACAATAAATACAGTATAAATACAGTTCACAATACATATGTGAATAAGAAAATTACCTGTTGCCGAAATGGTATCAAGAGAAAATAGCGCAATAGCCAATAACAACAGAAAGCTACAAATTCTATTGGAACAGTTAAATGCAAGCTTACTTACTAATCCTGTCCCCGCATTGTGTTCCAGATGCAAATTTTGAGGTCTCTAATGCGAATTTTGTAGGGGAAGCTACAGCTCGTCACGGAATTCATTGTGTAACTGTGGTGTTAAATCTTTATCTCTCTAGTAAATCATTGTTTCTGCTTAATAGTTAATCCCCTATTGCGTTGATCGTCGTGATCAATGCAATAGAGGATTAAACAAAAACAATGACATACTAGTGATAAAAGATTTAACACCAAGTTACAACAATGAATCTCGAGTCTAATTAAATGCAATGAACTCAGGGGAAACGTACGTTAATTGCAATTCCAGTCCGAATTAGTAACCGAAAGCGAATAAGTATAGGTTATTTTGAGACAACGAGGGGATATGTGATTTATTCACCGAGGCGCGTAGCGCCGAGGTGAATAAACACATATCCCCGAGGTGCCTCAAAATAACGTACTTATTTTTCACACTGCGAGGTCGCATTAATGAGTAAGAATAGAAATAATTCTTAATGTCATATTGCCTTCGTTATGTTGTTTTTTTCTCATTTTTTTGTGCTGCTAAGACATTGCAGGTGAATATTAGAGGGGATTATTAATTGCAGGTGAATATTAGAGGGGATTATTAAACGGAAATTGATTAGAGGGGAATATTGAATATATTCCCCGATGAGAACAAAGGAAACCGAGCAGGATGAAAAATAAGGAGAAATAAATAGAGCCGGCAGGAAGAGAAAACCCGTGACTGTTTTTATCACCTCTAAGAAATCACCGACCTATCCCCAGATTGGAAAGAACACTTACGAGTTTTTAGTTTTAGACTCATTTTGCAAGAGCATAGTCTGTGAAGATATGATGGTCTAGAAGCCCGGAAAACTTCAAAGCCACAAGGCCCACAAAACAGAAGAGCTTTGTTTGATGTTAAACTGTGCCTCGCCATGCACAAATCCTTTGTCTCAACTTCGTTAGATATTATTCATCGTGGTTTCACGTTTCATCTCAGCTATCCCTTTTGGACGATTACTTCATTATACGAAAATACAATGAGCTCAATCACCGTGACTGTGCACAAATTAACATAAACTCAGACAAAACCATAATACAATATGACTTCTGTTTAGTTTCCAGATCGTCATATCTTCATATAGACAATATGGCATGATACAAATCTTGGCTTTACAAATCTACGAGGTACATTTATTCCAAGATGTGAAAATCTAAGTATAACTACATGTAATCTTAGAAATGCCAATACCAATCTTATAATAGATAGGCCTAATATACAGATTATCTCAACCTTTCAATTGGTATCTACAAAAAACCTAATCAGTTATAATAGGCATTGAATCAGCTAGGTATCTTCTTTCTTCGATTTTTACAATTTTATGACATTTGTAATTTCGTTCAGTTTCAACTTTTAGTGTGTTTGTATGTCGTTGTAACAATTAGCATAACGCCCTCATGAAAATAATTTTATAGATGGTGAGGGTATAACGCTATGAAATAATTAAAAGTTTTGATCATAAAAAACTGAAACAGGCGACGATCCGAACAGTCGCGGGATTTATTTCTTGCACAACAGCATGCAACCACTTATTAGAACAAAAATTCTTTGTATTGCTCGTAAAACTTGTGCGATTCTTTGTATTAAAAACCTAATACCTTGTGTGTAATTCTTTGTATTACAACCTAATTAGAACAAAAATTCTTTGTATAGCTTGTAAAACTTGTGTGAGCCGTGAAATACATTGAAAATTTAATTAACTCAGTTCTCAAATCAGTAAAATGGTAAATCGCTGCAAATTGCAGTGTTGTCGCACCAGATTTGGAGTCAAAACTACAGGGTGTTCGGCTTCAAATTTATCCTCAGAGTTAGATTAATCTAAAATGTTGCAATAGCACTTGATATCGTGGTTCGCCACGCGTGCCGTTCGAGCTGGGAGACCGGGTTCATTCTTTGGGCGGACCTCTACTGAAGCCTTTAAAATAATTTTGAGGCGAAAGAGCTACCTTTACATTGACATCAGTGAACGGTTTAATTAGACTTTAGCGCGGTCTTCTCGAATAAGGACGTAAATCGTACGTACCCCGGATCCCGCATCAATTGGCAACAGGCTGTTGGGAAATCGCTCACCAATGAGTGAGCCAACTCAATAAACTCAATCTCTAGAGACTTTAAACAAAGTCAGTATGAATGTGAAGGATTTTTATAGGATATAAAATAAAACTGTTCATATACCTGCTTCTTTCTGCTTTGATTTGATGGGGCGATTTTTTCAGCAAATTGAACCGAACTAAAATGAAATATGTAAAAGTAAACAGATTATTAACTAAATGATGGCTAGCAAAATCTAGCGAGATTCCCCCAAGAATAGGCGAAACATTTTAAGCTGTGACAATAAGCTAGATATGTGAATACCAGCGTCTTTCTGTCTTGATACTTCTGTCTTCAGCCAAGAGCAATTCAAATGAGTAATGAGATGTGAAATGAACGCGCTTTTTATCCGTTCGGATAGCTAAGTTGCAAGTCGTCCCAAGCATGCGCATTTCGCATCAGTGGTACCATGCGAGCTGACGGAAACGCGGCGTTCAAAACACTTGATATCCTGCTTGATATACACTGACAGCCGGAGTTAGCATCTTACGGGTTTAACACGCAATGCAACACATGACTGGATTTTGTTCCTATATCAACAACGTGTCAAAACACCCGTCGAAAAATGCTATTACAATTAGTCTTCTCAAAATTTGGCAGCACTTCGAGAAATTATTCATTATACAATAGTCAATACAGCACAAATATTGCTAATCGAATCGTTTCAAATGGTATTTTCCAGTCGCGTAACCAGACCTTCATTTTTTATTTGGGGGGAGGGGCAAAGCGAACAGATTTAGCCTTTTTGAGAGAATGGTTTTTGTGGCGATTGGGGGGAGTTGGTCTTAACTTTTTTCTGTTTAGCTTAGATACAATGTTGTACTTCAGTTTGTTTGAGATATTATTACAAATAGGGGACTGTGTTATAGATTAGTCACTATACAATATTGTATAAATTAGTATACAATAAGTTTAAAGTTAGGGTACAGTCTGGTCTGCGCATGCGCACATAGGAGTCAGCATAAAAATATAAATAGTTGTCGAATAAAGTTCAATATTTTGAATACCAAAATGTAAACAAAGGCTTTGTTTACATACGG